CACTGCTCACCTCACACTCCTCTGCACAGCTCCTGCCAAGAAAGTTCACACAAAGCAAATCCAGGTTCTGTTTTCCCATCTCTAAAACAAACCACAAATGGTATCAAACCTCCAGTCAGTTCAGGAGGTGTGTGTGTGTGTGTCCCCATTTCCCAACCACCACAAGTGCATAATGAAGAGCAGAGAACAATTCTTGGGTCTAAATCTCCCCAAAACAGCATCCGAGAAGACAAAGGCTTTTTTCACTTCAAAACGACCCAGTCCAACCTCGTTGCTCCCTTTTCCTTGTAAATCCCATCACTAACTCACCCTTAAACGCTCCATATGAGTATTTCCCCTCCCTTCAAATAATACCCTGTGTCCCTCCCATCACACCCGCTTTGTCTCTTGAGGATGGTGTCACCATGATAAAGACTCTGCTTTCATCTCATTTTGGAAAGAGGGTGATCTTGACCGTGCCCCTTCACTCTTGGTGATCCCTGAGCTGGGTCAGGAAATAAGGGACGAGATCCCATCTCTGGTAAAACCTCTTCTCACACTGGGAGCAGCTGAAGGGTCATTCACCCGTATGGACCCGTTGATGTTTCCGCAAGCTGGAATGGTCACAAAAACTCTTCTGGCACTGGGGACACATGTAGGGTTTCTCTCCGGTGTGGATGCGTTGGTGCTTGATGAGCGCAGAGCTCCAGGCAAAGCTCCTCCCACACTCCAGACACCTGAAAGGTCTCTCCCCCGTGTGGGTCTGGCGGTGTTTATTTAATGAGGATGTGTGGACAAAGCTCTTCCCACACTCCAGACACTTGTAGGGTCTCTCACCCGTGTGGGCCTGGCAGTGCCTATTGAATGAGGATTTGTGGACAAAGCCCTTCCCACATGCCAGACACTTGAAGGGTCTCTCACCCACTTGCAGTTGTTGGTTCTGGGTTATAGATGATCTGCTGAGAAAATCTTGCCTGCAGTGCTGGCAGTCGTAGGAACCCTTCTCTCCCTGGGAACAGCTACAGGGTTCATCACCTGTGTGGAGCTGTTGATGTTTCCGCAAGGTGGAGCTGTGATTGAAGCTCTTCTGGCACTGGGGACATGTGTAGGGTCTCTCTCCTGTGTGGATGCGATGATGGTTGATGAGCTTAGAGCTTGTGACAAAGCTCTTCCCGCAGTCAGGACATGTGTAGGGACGCTCACCCGTGTGGACCCGGAGGTGAGTGGTGAGGTTTGAACTCCTCGTAAACTTCTTCCTGCATCTGGGACACGCGTAGGGTTTTTCTCCCTTGTGCATATGTTGGTGACACATCCAAGTGCTGCTGCTACAGAAGCTCTTCCCACACTCCAAACACTTGTAGGGTCTCTCATCTGTGTGGGTCTGGAGATGTTTATTCAATGAGGACTTGTCAACAAAACCCTTCCCACACTCCAGGCATGTGTAGGGTCGGTCATCTGTGTGGATTCGCTCATGCCGGGTTAAAGTGTACCTTCTGTTAAAAGTTCTCCCACAGTGGTGGCAGTTGTAGGACATGACACCAGGGCGAGGGTGTCAACGTGGGTCCAGACATGAGGTGGCTCCAACAGGTCCACCCTATAGGGCCATTTGCCCTGATAGATTCCTGGTGATGGGCCCGGTGGATCTCCTCCCGATGGTGGAAACAGGGTGGGGTGATGCAGACCCATCCTTCTCTGCCTTCCTCATCAACTCGAAGTTCATCTCCCACATGGATTGGAGGATGTTTCATCAAGGTCGAGCCATGACCAGAAGTTCTCCCACACTCGGGGCTTCTGGATGGATCCTACAATGGGTCAATAAAGCTGAATTTTGGTTCAAGCTGTGGCTGCCCTCAGGGGACTTCCAGGGTTTTCGGTGGAGGGACATCAAGCCTGCTTGGTGAGAAAATGTGACACAATCTGAAATGGGGGGTTACCCATGGAGTTGGACACTCCCTCCCATCCTACACCTCAAAACAGTGAGGTGGGGGGACATTTGCTGCAGGGTCTTTGGGGAGTGTGGGGGCTCTCAGCCACTCCTGGGATGAGTTGGGCTCCTCCC